GGTTACTGTCATGTCAACTCACCTATTCTTTTGGGTAAAATGACTCCATAGACTTCTCTTGGTCATATGTCAAGAACATTTCTGGGCCGATTTCCTGCAATTATATTAAACGGTACTTTTAGCGCTCATCTACTATTAATTACATATAATTAATAAGCATCAAGAACGAAGGGGCAGCTGCAAATTATCTGCAACGCACATTGATTGGTGGGGGATTACGCAAATAGTACCACTCGGTTTGCACCCCAACCAGAAAGTAATAAAGTTTTCTGTTCCACGAAAATAATTTAGAGTAAAATATATGATATGTGATAAAACACTAGCAGTTCACCCATTTGCATAAGTGACCTACAACAGTATTTAACATACTGCATGAATTGGAGGAGAGTACCCATTCAACACCTTTTCAACAAAGCTGACAGTAAGCCAAGTTATTGACATCACGGGCATCATTTACTCGGCCTCAAAAAATAACTTACAACTTAATTGTGCGTGGAAATAACATTGAGCCACAGGAGAACACTAACCTCCTACAACAATAACCGGAATGGAACAATTCAATATTCCGGGCCGGAAACAATCAAGCACTATACCTTGCAATTAATAACGAAAAGCGGCGATGTCCACTCTTAAATTCTGATTAAAATCCTATGATTATCAATTATATGAGTAGGTATTATCGGTATTTGGCAGAAACGCCGATCGTGACACCGATGTAGATTGTTTGTTTACGTTTCCATAAAGGCGCGGGAAATGCGCGGTGGGGGTGGGGAGGAGGAGAGGGGTAGGGGACGCGGCACGGCAAAGGGGGAGAGCAATAATTACGGCACACTCACCAACATATCGTGGTCGCGGGATGTGATTCTTTCCTGGGGTAGGCAATCCCGCCTCGCTTGTCAAGGATGTGATCCTTTGGGGGCTCATTTACACTTGTCCCGTCGTTCGATCGTTCGTTCGTTCGTTCGACCGATCTTAAAGAGATAGCCTCCGCGTCAACCCCCGGGACCCGGGAGTATGTTCTGATGACCACATGTGGTTGGGAGCGTCTGTTCCCGTGATCACACTAGTCGCCAACGACTGTGGTGCGAGGGACGTACTCCCCTATTTTCATCTATTATTTCTGGCCGGGTGTGTAAGGTAAGGTAGTAAAGGATAGTCGTAAGTCGGTTCCGATGAATGTGGGCATGTTCATGTTCATGCCCAAAAATGGGTGGAGAAAATAGAAAAAATACGGTAAGTTTCTAGGTGTATTTTTTTATTTTTCACAGCAAAACAAGTAAATTTCTAGGCATTTCAAATTTTGGAGCAAAAGTGCCAACTTAAGAGATCGCATAGTATTTAACAATGACTCGTTCAATTCCTGTAACAGTCATCAGTTAACAGTCTTCAAATCTCACAAACAGGAAATTAAAATGGAGCCCATCTTCCCTTAAATTACTAAAACATTCAGTAATTCACCACATCAACACATAAAAATGGCATCAATTTAATAGGACGGACACCACACTCATTTCTGATAATAAACATCTCTACTGGTTTTAACGCCCTTTGATTACATTGATCATTTCAAATACTGGAAAAGGTCTGAGAGAAAAATAAGTACAAATAAGCCATATAATCAAAATATCATACTAGTATGCATATAGACCTGAAATCTGGAAATATATTTCACAGCTGTCTGGATTTAATTACTAAGTAAGCTTCTCTTTGGAAGAGTGACAAAATTCATAGTTCACATAAACACCAACCACACAGGTTCACTTGTATTGATTAAATTTGAACGAACCAACATGTACAGAGCAGTTTGAAAATACTTTAGAATGTTTTAGAAACAAGAAAATCTGTACATTCCTATATTACTGCACAAAATTACACTGCTATAGAATTTATAACTACAATTTAATATGAAGGAATCAAATATTTAATCTCCAAGTTTATTCAAGAAAACAAAGTTTCTCTCATGTAGACTCACAGTTACTTATTGCATAATTTGACAAGTAAAGCATCTATTGTTATCTATTGTTTTCTTTTTTGACTAATGTGAATGATAATTGATATTTACCTTTAAATCAAAAACAGTACAGGGATCTCTGAATGATAAAAAAAATATATTTACAACTTCAGGCAGCACCGGTCACAGGTTCTGATTTTAGGCTTACAGCTACACTTTTATCACTACATGATCCTTCACTGGAACCATTCAGTATTGGAATATGATTCGGTTTGGTGGCTTCAGTCTCATCTTCAATTTTTTGAAACACTTTGGTTTCAACCTGTGAAATAATTATTGTTAGGTTAAAAGCTCTCCAAAGAAAGTGAAATTGAAACTGTTGTTTAGTGATAAAATTAATTTACCTTCTGATTGATGTCTATATTTTGGCTGGACTCCTCTGAAGCACTAAATAAAAAAATAATTAATAAATAACTGTTGATTACCTTACAAAAAATTCATTTCTAGACTAAGTTTGACAAAGAAGTTAAAAGAACTTACGGTTTCTTGGAGTGAACAGCATCGCTGATGGCACGTAGGACTCTTGTTATTAAAGAGTCAATGTCAAGAACTTGGTCTATCAAGTTACCAGGAGCTTCGTCAGTTGTACTTGATTCAGTTTTTAATGATTCCTCCTGTAGACGCCGGAAAATAGCAGCAGATAGATTTTGAATACTTTCACTATTTACAAGGCGAGTATCATTGTTTTCTGAAATGGTGCTATCCCGTTGTCCGCCTCCTTCTTCTTCAAGTTCTGGTTCAGTCACATTGTCTAAAGTTTGGAAATTGTTCTCAAAATGAAGACCTTGAAGGAAAACAGGTAAAGAAGAATCCAAAATGAGTTAACAAGATAATTCCACTAATTAATCACATTGTTAAATTGAAAATAAATTTGTCGTACTTAAAGGTCTGCAGACTTCTTTTGTTCGAGTTGTGACAGCCTCTGCTTCTGTAGTCAATGTACATAGAGCTTTTTCAACAGAACTTTCCTAAGATAAAAAAAGAAAAGGGCAACCATAAGTTATAATGTGTGCAAAATACTTTCAGAAATAAAACCTTCACTTAAAGTACATAAACACTGTTCACAATAAATTGTGATGGAAGCACTGCTTACCTCAAGCTGCACCGCCAATTCATCCAAACGAACTCTTAGAGCAGATAAGGCAACAGAAGCACCAGACACTGCTGCTCCCTGTTGAAGAAGTGATTCTCGTGATCGCTGTTCAAGGGCGGCTACACGAGCTTGTACGGTGAGAACTTCTTGTCTGAAATACAGTTTGGGAATTCCATTAAAAAGTTGGCTACCTCAAATCACAGATTGTAATGCCCATAATAGTATATAATTAAACTTGCCTCCTTTGTTCACTAATGCGCACAAGATGTTGACACTCTTCTCTCTGTTTCTCAAGCTCCTCATTCAAGCTTTCAATTGTCTTTCTCTGGTCTTGTACCTTACAAAAATTAAATAAAGTTAGAGGGGGAAATTTGACTTATAAATCCATCCATCAGTCAGTATTATTTATCCTTACTTCTCTCTCCGCTTCCTTCAAACTCTCGGACATCATGCACTTTTCGACCTGCAAAAACTCGTGCATTTCTATGGTCTCTGCTTCAGTCTCCTCTTGATGCTTCAGGAGTTGCTTCCGAAGTCTGTCTGAGTGCTCCACTTCATATCTTAGACGTCCTATCTCATTCCTTTGAAGTAAGTCACGCTTTTTAATTGTGGTGGCTCTTTGCTCCAGAAGCTCTAATGATTTCATCCATGCTGCACAAAGTCAATTGCAAATTTATGCCAATTTCATATCAGCAAGTTGGTTATACACACAGAAATAGCTGAACAGTTCTGTCGGCACCAGTACCTGTGTGGTCAATTTCCTTTGGTGGGGTCTGCACCGTGGAAGTGATGTTGCCGCCGGGTGACCGGGGAGCCCCTGAGTGCTCGAACCCAAGCATGTCGATGATAGCCTTGAGACGCCTGTCTAGCATGAGGGTGGCGAAGTCGTCGCGCTCCCTGTCCACCTGCACGCCCTGGTGGCAATGCTCCTTGGCGTCCACGGGCTTGAGCTGGCACGCCTTGCCGCCCAGCAAGTCGTCGAGGTCCTGGATGGTGAGTGCCGTCTGCGCGCCAGTCTCATGGTAGAGAGTCACCTTCTGCTTGCGGGCGGTCTGCGAGCCGGCCGTGGACGTCCTCTCGATGCTCTCCACGGAGCGACGGCGCCGTCGTCGGGGAAGTGTGGAGAACTTGTCACACTGAAACATAACGAAAATGAGAAAGGTCGGCATACGAATCGGTTCCTTTCGGGAAATGGGGATATCACGCTCACTTAATAGCTTTGAAAGACCGCTTACAGGAACAAATAAAAACTAACCTTGGACTCGATAGTGGGCGATGGCGTTGAGGCGGAGTTGGTAGAGTTGACGCTGTTTTTGCTGCTGGAGCTCGTCATGCCAGGCAACACGCTCCTCCTCTCCCTGTCGGTGGCCACGCTCGATGCCCGGGTGCGGCTGAGGGTGGTGGGGCGCTGCACGGTGGACGGCCAGCGCCCGTCGTCCGTGGACGTGGTCATGACGGGCGCCGTGCCACGCGGCGCGGGCCGCGGCGCCGACGGCGCCCTGGTGGTGCCCCTGCCGCGGACATTGCCAGTGGTCAGGCTGCCCGTCAGGCTGCTCGTCATCAGAGAGCTCGTCCCGGACGAGGAGCCCGAGCGCTGAGTCCTCGGCGCGGTCCTGGACGATGCGAGCGCGCCGCTGTCGGAGCCCGATGGCTGCCGGCCCTGGAAAAAATACATAACAGCCAAACGTCACCGCGAGTGGGCACGCGCGTGTAGTCCCATCCACTCCATGGCGGCCCCGTACTCACCCTGCTGCAGCTGGCGCCACGCCCCGCCACCGACCTCTCCCTGGGCTTGGGCGCAGTCGCGGGCGCGGCGGCAGAGGCCGGGGCCGACCCCGAGGAGGCCACGGACCTGGAGCGGGGGTGGCCGGCGGGCCGACCCGGCGTAGAGCAGGACGCCGACGAGGAGGCGGAGGAGACCTTCTTGCGGACGGGGGTGTGCGAAAGCACCGAGGACGACTCGCTACCGCCTTCGCTGGTGCCGTCGTAGTCCAGGTGCGCGAGCGGGCCTGGCGGCGGCCCGGGCAGGCTCGGCGTCCCCCGGGGTGTGCCCGTCAACGGCGTGTCCAGCGTCGGGGAGGCGGACCGCTCCGCGCCGTTCAGCTCCACGCCGCTGTCACTGCCGTCCTGCTTGTTGACGGCGCGCTTGAGGTCCTCGGGATCATGCAGCTGCTTGGCGATGGCCTCGGCGCCCAGCGTCAGGTCCGCGACCACCGTCACCTCGCCGTCGTTGAGCACAAAGTCGCTCTCCGACATGAGGGACGCGTCCATCTTGGAGCGGAGGCACTACAGTTGACGGGCCCATGCGCAGCACACTACAAAGAGAAGAGGCAGAAATGAGTCAAACCGTTGCAATCACATTAGGGAGCAATCACGAAGGACTCCGACGAGACGAAGAGCCATTACACGGAGGGGGAGGGGTCACCGCACCCGATTGTTTCCTCCCCTTGTTACTCAAAGAGGCACGCTGCAGTGGCCGGTGCGGTACTCGAACTGACCTGGCAGGGTCGGGGGTCAGAGGGGTCGGATCAAACAGTCGCGCGAGTTTCCAAACGGTGAAAAAAGCGAAGTCGGGTGGGGCCGGCCGGGGCGGGGCGGGGCGGGGCGGGGCCAAGCCGATCCTCTCACGTGACCTCACAGCGACCTTCTTTCCCTTCTCCCTCGGGGCAGCACGACCGTGCCGGCGGCGGCGAGAGGGTGCAGGAGGGCAAAGCCGGCACGGGGTCAGCCAAGCGGCCGCATCTCGCAAGTCGTGCAGTTCCGGTGGAAGTGGCGGCGATGCCCTTTTCCAGACCGCCGCCGCCTAACAAAAGGAGGAGATAAAGTATAGTAGTAGGACGGCAAAGCCACGACGCAGTTTCTTTCGTTTACTTTGGCATCGCGTATATAATAAACTGTGCCGTTTCCCTCTGGCTGGCCGCGCGTGCAGCCGAGCCGGCGGACGGCACCGCGCACACCGCAGAACAGAGCCGGGCTGCATGCTGCATTCATCGGCATGGGTTCCAATCACCGGAATGGGATGGGCGTGGGGCGCGGCGGTGCGGGGCGTGGCGGGGGCCACGCGGGTGCCTCTGCGCGGCGTGGTGGTTATTGACTTGTTGGGAACTTCCGGCGCGGAGGACGTATGTACCGCGGCTTTGGGGG